GAGGTCTTTACTGGTTCAGCTGAACTCTGAGCTCCTCTGGTTTGAATCCATCGAGCACGAAGGCCTAAAACTCCACAGCTAAAGGTTTCCGTGCTGCTTTGACTTATCACCACAAACTCAATATTCTTCTAATTTGGACAGTTTTTCCAGATAAAACAACAAATCAAACGATGTCACGCTGATGTTTAATGGATTCGTCAGCCAGTAGATCAACTGGACAACATCAACCAGCAGACGACTGCTCGTTATGTGAAATTCAATCAATTATACTGAAATCGATGTTTTGTCAAACCTAATGTCTAAATTGCCGGTTTTGTTTCACCATCAGGCCAAAATATTCAAGTAACCATAACTCATGAAGAAACAAATCTGAAAATCTGAAACCAGGAGCTCAGCGATGTTCAGCATGTTTGCAAAAATAAAATCATTATTCAACCGTAAGAGTCTGTCAGGAGAATATTTGAGTGTTAATTGAAATCTACGGCAATTAACACGTGGAACAAAGCACTCGTTTTAAGTTAGCACGGTTTAAAACATGAAAACACCTTCATGCAAACTCTGGAGAATCCAAGAAATCAGTCTTAATGTTCACAAAATAATCAGATCTGGAACTAATAATGATAATTATTAGTTTTTGCAGATGTGAACTCAACTGAAAACTCATTTTTCTCTTTTAAATCTCTTTTTAAAACTCACTTTTATCTAAAAACTTTACTTAACAGAAGGTATTTGTCCCGATAGGTTCATTATTTATCCTATTTTAGATCAATGTTTTGGATTTTTGAACTTTAAATACTTGTTTTTTTTTTCCTGCAGGGACGAGAACAATGTTTGGAAAGGAGTTCTATACTTAAAGCTTTTTGTATTTTCATTTTCTTGAAGAAATTATTAACTTTTGTTTCATAAAATGTAAGAAAATTGTTAAAAAATACTGATCACAATTTGATAAAGTCCAAATGACTTGTTTTGTTTGAACAAAAGTCAAAGAAACTCAGTTTAGAGTCACAGAAGACAGAAAAGTAGAAAATCTTGAAGGGTTTCTGCTTCAAGTATCGTCAAAGGTTAGAGGTTAATTGATGTTAATTAATTAATCAGCTAATCTTTTAACTCTTGGTGGGTTTGAAAGACATGTTGTTCTAAAACTCAGCAAAATTCTGTCATTTATTGGAGTCATAATTTGTAAAAACTGAAGTCAAGTGTTGGATTTTCAACATTCAAACTGTCCCTGAACTAATCCTGAGTAACGTCCAGTTTAGATTATTTTATCATCATTACTTTAATCTTGTCTCATTTAAAACAAATCAGTGAATATAAACTGTTTGCAAAAACTAGATTCTACACAAAGCTTCCTGCTGCAGCTCAGACGCTCTCACTGCCTCAACTTTAACCAACATTCACACGACGTGACTGATCAGCCAGAAAGAGTAAAAACAGAAAAAACAAAGTCAGATTTTCAACTTTCTAAAAATCCATAAACATCCTCAGACTTTACTTTCAGTTTTCTCATGAAAAAAATGAACCAACTGTGACATTTCTTTAAACTCACTTTATTCTACAAGTGTCGTGTTTTAAAAAATTGCCAAAAAATAAACCGTTCGCTCAAACCAGATTCTGTAAAAAACGAAAAATTCGGCGGTCCTCGGTGCAACTGTGAAGCTGTGACTGACTCGGCTATGATTAACAGCAGCGTCACAAAAATTCAGAGACTTTTGGGCTGAACTGCAGGCAGTGTTTACACGATTCATTTGGAAACAGATTAAAAATGTAAATAATAGAATATCCACAGTCTATAGAGTCCATATTTTACACTCCAGTGTTGCTGACACCTGTGGACGTTGAAAAAATGTCGCACATGTTGATTTTAGGTTGTGCCATTTTTTGTAAAATAAAATAAAAAACTAAGAAATGAAACTTTGCTTTTTTACGCAATAACATAATGCACCGCTGGGCTTGTTTCTTCAGATTTATTTCAGGTGTAAGAACAGAAGTGTGGCGCTGTAGAAGTCTGAACTTTAAGTGCAGCTCTTGTGTCCTACGTTGAGCACATGATCCATGAAACCACATCTGTACATGTGAACGGTGCACATAGTCTTTAATACATCTACGTTTTATTGGACTTTTGTGGTTCTGTTTGTTTTTTCTTCACTGTGCTTCATTTCTGTCCCGCAGCTGACCAATAAAAAATAGCAACAGGAGCAAAAAACACCCAGAAACAGCTTGAAATCAGAAAAGCTTCACTGAACCAAACAGTTTTGCAACCAAACCTTCCAGCCACACATCAGAACATTTTAACAACTCAAGCCTCCAATTCCTCATATTTGACCTTAAAGCAGCTCGAAATCACACATGCAGGACATTGTGGTGCAGACGAGCTGCTCACCTTCAGGATCTTGACCACCACCTTCTCATTGTTGGTGATGTTGATGGCCTCGAACACTTCGCTGTACTTCCCTCTGCCCAGCTTCCGGACCAGCTGGTAGTCCTCCTGGTTGCTGTGGGGACAGAAGGGACAGCACTGTGTGAGAAAATTACATTTTCAGCGTCTGCATGCAGTGAAGTTGATGTCTGAGCCCTGAGCTGAGGAGATGATGGAGGATGCAGGAGACAGGAAGTGATAAAAGTGTCATGATAAAGCTCCATCTGCAAAGCATCACACATCCATTCTCATGCATGCAACCAGAGCAGTCTGCAGCAGCCACACATGTCCTCACTTCCAGTTGGGTACGTGGGCCTCGTAGTCCCAGTACTCCCGGGTCTTCAGCGTGTTCACGTCTGCATACACACGGGACTTGCTACCGGCCACCGGACCCGGCATGGCGAGACCCGTGGCTCGGAGTCACGGAGATCTGCCGGGGGTGTGGATGACGGAGAGAGAGTGTGTGGGTGGGTGTGGAGTGGATGTGTCCAGCCAGCTAGCTCCGAGAGGGAAGAGATCCCGCTGAGAGGAGGGAAAAAAAAAAAAAAAAGAAAAGAGTGGAGAGCCAGCCGGGGTTTGCTGCAGTCAGTGCCCGCCGAGCAGCGTCCCTTCGTGGGGGAGTGAGAAGCAGCAGAGTCGGTGTTGGTGGAGCTCAGAGGAACCCGCAGCTGAGATTACACACAGGCCCGGGGAGGCATCGGGGTGCTGAGGTAGAGAAGAAACGGAGCCCTGAAGGTGCACGGCGGGGCTGGAGGTGTAAATATGACGGGTTCAACCTCCGGAGCTAACGGTCCGCTCTCTCTCTCTCTGCGGGCCCCGAATCCGAGAGGAGACGGCGGAGGGGGGCAGAGGCTTCCTGCGCTACACGGTGGACGGTCGGGGAGGAGGCGGGGGACGCCCTCGGTGCTCCGGTGGTCGCTATCAATCAGCGGCTGATGTGACAGATCGGTAGCGGGGGTCGACCGGAGGGAGAAGGGGGGGTGGAGCGGCTCGGAGATCGATGTTGTTAGCTAACGTTAGCCAGCGATGCTACTTCAGCGCGGAGATGTCGCACCGACGGGGAGCGCTCGGCTCCGTGCACCACCGCTGGCCGAGCCCGCGTCATGTGCGACCGGCTGTGCGGGGTGGGAGGGGAAGCAGCGCCTCGCAGGCCCGGTGCCAGACGCCGAAGGAGGGCCCGGGATTCGGGGGGTTTCTCTTCTGCAGCCTCGGACCTCCCCGGTGGAGAGCGCAGGGAAGGGAAGCGGATTGCGATTGAAGAGGAGCGAGACAGCCGCCCGGATGTGAAAGCTGCGGGCTGCCGGGGTGAAGAGGAGGAGGGCGGCGTCGGAGCGGAGAGCCGCGACACAGCGACCCCTGCTGGCCGGCGGCCGGAGGTGGTGTCACACGTTTAACACGCCGTGTGAAACCAAGTCACTACTTCATTTCCTCTTAAAGTTTGGGATTGATTGATCATTTATAGAATATATTAAATCAATCAATAAATTAAGATTAGGTTGTTGTACATATATTACTTAGATTTAAGTGTCTTTTAAGGGGTAAATTAGGGAATGATTCTAATGTTTTGACAAAATGTAAAAGAAATATTTGATTTTTGTTTATGAAGCCTTGAACTGATAATTAATGCATCTGTACACATTTAAGAGTGGGTCACATATCTTTAAAACCAAGTCCCTCCTTCATTTCCTCTCAAAGTTTTGAAAATATATTCATTCTTTCAATAACTTCAGATTAAGTTGTTGGTATGTACTATATATATTATTTAGATGTAAGGTTTTTTTTGTCTCTTAAAGGGTAAATTAGGGAATAATTATAATGTTTTGATATGTTAATATTATTAATATTTCATTTTTGTTTACAAAACCTTGAACTGATCATTAATGCATCAGTATATATTTAAGGGTGGGTCACATATTTGTGTTTTTCTGTAAAATAAGGCAAAACCTATTCACTCCTTCATTTCCTCAAAGTTTAAACTTTGGGATAAATTGAATTTATTTAACATTTATTTAATATATAATTTAATAAATTGAATTTCCCTTCTAGGATAAATACAGTATTTTTCATTCATTCATAAATTGAGAATTTTTTAAAGTCTCATCAATTAATCAATGATTTAGATTAAATTGTTGTTATATATATATTATTTGTATTTAAATCTCTTTTTAGGGGTAAATTAGGGGATAACTATGATTACATTTTACATGTCAAATGTCAAAGAACGAATTACTATTTGTAAAGATACAGACTTTTGACATGGACATTATTCATAGTTAACAAATGTATTGTTTCTGTGATTTCTAGTAGTTATCACCTCTAATTTAACAAAACAGAGAAACAGTAAATTGTTCCAAAAATGATTTTTTAAAAAAGTTAACTTTTTTTTTCTTACAGTGTAATCAGAAGCGTTTGATGGTTGTATTCTTTCTACTTTATATTTGTGGCTCAACGTTGTGCAACAACATACAAGAACGTGTTTCCATGTATTCTAACAGAAAAGTCCAACAGATGTCCAGAGCAAAGCCTAAAAACAAACACAGAGCAGCTGATTTCCTGCACAAATAACTTTCAAGACTCGCATAAATGTATAAATGAAAAAAAGTTTTATTTGTTAGTGCTGTGTGTAATCGAATGCTACATACATACAGATAATCTTAGCATGAATGTACACGTACTGTACGTCGCCACAACGTTTTTTTCTTTTCAGAGTTTTGTTTTTCAACATCATTCACATAAACTACAGTACAATTTGAAAAAAGCTATAGGAGGGAACAGTGCTGTGAGCGGGGCGGGAGGAGGTCGGGGAGGATGGAGGGCTCCAGCACCGGTTCCCAGGGACAGAAACACAGGAACTAACACAGCAAGCATGCAGAGAGCAAGAGACACCAGGGTCTGACGGGGCTTTTTTAAAAATCAGAACTGAGGAAAACGGAGGACGGCGGGTGAGTTAACGGGTGCCTGAACTGACTTTTTAAACCACCGGTTAGAGTGCAGGAGAGATTTAATCATTTGTGCTTATACGGGAGGTTCTCCTCTCCTTGCTGAACCAGATATGGATCGTTTTGAAACCCAGGATTGGTGCGTCCTCAGAGTGGTCCGACCCAAACAATATAACACAGAACAGATGCACCACCAGCTTTACTAACTACTGACTGAGTGCTGCTGGGCTGGAGTTGAGTTTTTCTTTGGCTTTTAACATACACTCTCATTATTAGCATTATTATTATTAATACTAGACATATGTGAGGTCCTTGTCTGCACCTGGAGCGTCTATTTCTTATTGTGCACATCTGATGACGTGTCAGCACCGATTAACAAGTCCTGATGCACTTGCAGTTCTTGGCAAAATACGAACCCACCCTCACTGATTCCTGATATTCACCATGTGCGGAGCTATATTTTCATCTTTTAAACGGATCTACGTTTCAAAAAAGTGACGTCCAGAACACACCCCAAGGCCCTGGTCTCTCCCTCCAGGAATACAGATATTCATATCAATTTAAAGAATTAAAAGTAACATATGAGAAGAAATGTGAAACCATAAAAATAAAAGTACAGTACTTTTCTTTTACTTTAACTTGTTCTCAACGTCTTTTAAATGCCAGATTCATAAAATTAAAAATGCGACGGCTGCAAGCGACAACCGTCTGACCTCGTGTGTTGATGATGGACAGAAAGCAGAAGAAGAGGCAGAGGGCTTAAGGCGAGAAAAGAAAAGAATCGCAAGCAAGAATAAAACAAATGTTACTCCTCAGTTTGTATTAAATACTTTCCAATACTGCACTCAAACCTTGAATTAACAGTGGAAGAGTGGGAGGCGAGGGAGGAAGGGAAAAAGCTCCACAGACGAAGACAAAACAAATTTTAAAAAAAAAGGAGTGATGGCGTTTCATAGCCGACATGTAAACCAGCTCCAGGCTTCTTAAGCGCATCTAGAATCTCATAGCATTCAAAGAGGAGGAAGGCGTCATTCGCTCTGGTAACAGACACAACGTCAACATGTAACAGGAGAAAACATGAATAAGAATTCTTTCAAAAAAAATAAAAATACTGAACACAGAAAACCTGCAGAAACAGCTCTCAGACAGACCAGTAAGGTTAGTCGTTTAAAAAAGAAAACACACACAAAAGGCGCAGGTCTGTTGAAACGGTTCTACTACAATTCTCTTCAGTCTGAAGTTCCCTGTTTGACAGAAATACCGTTTTTACATTCACGCACTCAGACTCACGCGCAGGTTTCTCTTTGAGATTTCCCCGCGACATACTGGCACAGTCACTACGTGGACTACAAAAAACCACAAAAAAAGAGCATTTTGTCAAAACGTTTCACATGGTAAAAAGTAGCAAGAATACAAAACTGTTCTTCGATACATTTTTTTTTTTGTTTGTTTGTTCGTTTAAGAAAGACAAGTTTCCAACTCGTCCGGCTAAGTACACTCACACATCCAAGGTATGTACAGGCTGAGAGAGGAAATGGAACGTCGGACATTGTCGGGACACGTACGTCTAACAGCGCTGACCTCTGCAGGAATATGACGAGTGAAGCATAGATTTCTCTACGGGTTTATGTTGGAGACGGATATCAACCATTTGGGCTTTAAACTGATGGCTAACTTCGGCTGGTTGCGTCGTTCCGGCGTTTTGGTGTAAATCGGGAGTTGCCATGAAAATCACGGCGTGCACATGACAATGAGTTCACTGCAGGACGATACATTCCCAAATTACAGTGTGTGGCTTCACGAATAAGTCGAGGAGTTTAGAGGCAACTTCTTAAAAAAAAGAAGCATCAATACTAAAGCCCAGGAGGAAGTGAAGGAAAGGAGCAAATACAATGTTCAGGTTTTACTGCTCAGCAATGAAAACCAAAACAATTCCATCACATGAGGGGTGAACTACGAAGCAAGAGTACGTGGAGATTAAAGCTCTGTTTAAACCTGCTACATCACCATGGTAACTGATACTGCACAGCTACATCACCATGGTAACTGATACTGCACAGCTACATCACCATGGTAACTGATACTGCACAGCTACATCACCACAGTGACTGATGCTGCACAGTTAGATCACCATGGTAACTGATGCTGCACAGTTAAATCACCATGGTAACTGATTCTACACAGCTGACCTGCTCTGAAGGAGGTTCTGTTCAGAGTTTGGGATTTAAATTGGCTGTAAGATGCATCATTAGGCGGTTATTCTATCCGCAAACCTGTGGAGTTGTACGCTAATAATGAGACTGAAAAAACCCGTTCAGCTACAGTTGCACAAACTGTATGCTTTGTGTTGCCACAGGAACCTACGTGCATTTAGTTGGCAATGCAGAAAACGTGTAACTATGTTTTTCTAAACACTCCTGAACTGCTGCCAAGTCCGTTTTACACTGCTGATACTGCAGCTAATAGAACACGGTTTAGAAAAGTGATTAGTCTGTTGGTATTTATTAAAAATTATTTAATTTGGCCAAAAGCAAAAGGGATTTCTATGTATCCTTCAGTAAGGGACAGAGTCAGACCGAAATTCATTTTTTGAATTAACTCCAAAGTTTCAAAACTCTGATTTTGTTCTCTTTTTCTGTACCTGCTCAGGGACAACAGGTGCAAATTAGCAGCTCGCTAACTCTCGTTCATTTACTTTTAATTATGCACTGTCCCTGTAAAAATAAAGAAATAAACCAGCGACAAACAAAAATATGGAGCTGTCACATTAAAAAGAAGCAGCTGCACTCGCAGTTTCTAAGTGAGAAAACAAATACATTAACTTTAACAATTAAGTCTTCAACCAGCATTCCCCTGTTTCGTCATTTGCATTAAAAGTGTTGCTTTTTAGCCTCATATATTATTCTGTTCTTTATAGCTTTCCAGTGTAACAACTTGTTTCTTAGACCGAAGCAGGCGGCATGTGATTGGTCAATATGTGCAGAAGAAGAGTCACATAAAGCGTTAAAAAAAAAGAAAGTTGCAAACCACCGTCCTGATACTCGTTATCTCTGACTGTAATTTTAGGTTTTGTTGAGTCGGTTTATGCAAGAACAGCCTCTGTACGTCAAACTCGCTTCGTAGTTCACCCCAAAAACAAATGAATGAGTGGAACTTGCCAGTCTTCTGATACTAAACAGCAAAAGACTGAGACAAAGAGAAAAAGAAAGATTAGGGGAGAGGGAAATAAAAAACCAAGGAATGATCCCCCTCTAGTGGAATTCAACCTTCATGATTCAGTCACTGTTCCTTTATAAAAAAACTTTCTGCCAAACTACTTTAAACAAAAACAACAAAGGCTCTCTAATTCTGTCACGACAATGAGGAGGCATTTCAAATTCTTATTTCTTTTTCTGAGGGGAGAAAATCAGCGGGAATCTATCTGTTAAATCAGCCTGCATTATGGCACCTGTTTCTGTGTCAGGAAGTCAGTGTGACTGATGGAAGTTTAGTGGTCGTGGCCTTCTTCAATGTTTGAATGTGGGGTATAAAAAAAGAAGGAAAGATAGAAAACGTTCCTATTTCATGGAATGACAGACTTGGAGTGATGAGGACTGAGCAGGTCAGCAGAGCAACAACAACCTGATGTGGCACTGGTGGGAATGAACGTGATGATAACAGCCCAGGACAACGCCGAAGATGTGAATAATTTCAGGCTGAATTAATCGCCCAGACCGGACAGACGAGAGGAAAGAGTGTTTCAGGGTTTGTCTGTTCAAAGAAAAACGTCAGAGGGTCTATAAGCACTGGGGGACGGGGTAGCCGCCTCCGTCGGCCGTGTGCTGCACCGTGTGATCCTGCAAAGAGCCCAAGTCACTGAAACGCTCTCCACACCACACACACTTGAACTGGCCCTCTCTGGAGTGCGTGCTCTGGTGTTTGGTCAAGTGCTCGCGCTGTTTGAAGCCCTTGTTGCAGTGGCCACATTTGTACGGTTTCTCGCCCGTGTGCACGCGCCGGTGACGGTTCAGGTCCGACGAGTACTTGAAACGTTTCTCACAGTCCGGGCACTTCAGCGGCTTTTCCCGCGATGGGTCACAGCGATGCTGGACGAACTCCGACGAGGACAAGAAGCGGCGGTCGCAGAGCGAGCACTTGAGGGGCTTCTCTTGGCAGTGTGAGTTCTGGTGACGCTGTAACGTGGAGCTCTTCTTGTACCCTTTGCCACAAACGTCGCACTTGTACGGTTTGTCCGGCGAGGTGTTGGACGACTCGCCGCACTTGTGTCTGAGCAGCTCTCCTGACTGGCTGAACTCCTTCTGGCATGAGGCGCACTTGAACAGGTTGTCCATGCCGTGGACGTGCTGGTGGTAGAGAAGGTGAGAGGGCTGCATGAAGCCCTTGTCGCACAGGTTGCATTTGAACGGCCGGTCGGTGGGGTCTTTGTGTGTGCGTCTGTGGCGAACGAGTGCGTACTGCTGCTTGAAGCTCATCTGACACTCGTCACAGTGGAAGGGACGCTCCTCTGAGTGCGTTCGCTCGTGTTGCCGAAGGTCAGACGGCCGCTTGAAACCTTTGCCGCAGGTGGCGCAGCGAAACGGCCGAGAGCCCTGCGGGTGACAGGGGTGGTGCAGCAGCTCCGACGACTCCTTGAAGTGCAGCTCGCACAAGTTGCATTTGAATAAGTGCTCACCAGAGTGAACGTACATGTGGCGCACCAGGTGGGAGCGGTGCTTGAAGCTCTTTTCACAGACGGCACACTTGAAAGGCCGTTCGTTGCTGTGCGTTCGCTGGTGGTGCTGTAGGTGCGACGACTGGCTGAAGGCCTTGTCACATGTGTCACATTTGAAGGGTTTCTCTCCCGTGTGCACCCGCTCGTGTCGCGTGAGTTCTGAGAGGTGCTTGAAGCCTTTCTGGCAAACAGAGCATTTGTACGGCCGGTCTCGTGCCGAGGGAAAGGGGAGGATGGACGAGCTGCTGCTGGCTGACGCTCCGTCACTGCTGGGCTGCTGGGAACTGTTTGAGGAGTTGGGCGTGGCGTTGCCAGAAGACCCGGGTCGGTAGGTCTTCTCACATATTGAACACTTCATTGGGTTGGTGCTGTTGTGTGACGTGTGGTGCTGAGCTAGAGAGGTGAGTAGAGAGAAGCCCATCTTACAAACTCCACACACAAACGGCTTCTGCTCCACCTGAACACACTGGTGCTCCAGCAAGTCTGTCGCCTGATGGAAAATCTTCATGCACTGGGTGCACTGGAACGACCGGTCCTGACTCACCATGCACTGATGTTCATGAGGGTTTGCCAGGTGGGAGATATCATGTCCACAAGCCCCACACTTGTGGCCTCCCTCCGCCCCGACCTGCAGGGAGGTCTGCTGGGCCTGGGCGGGGTGCTGCTGCTGGCCCAGCTGCCCGCCTCCGTGCTGCTGCTGACCGTGCTGGCTGTGCTGGCCGTGCTGGTTCTGCTGCTGTAGAGACGTCGCATCTGGCTGCAGGACGATGCCGTACACAGCGCAGCCCAACGCGTTCTCAGCTCCTGGAGGGATGGTGTGGACGACCGGAGGTGGAGCAACCGTATGCTGCTGCCAGGCCTCGGTCATGCGGGCTCGGGTGTAGGGGTTCAGTTTGGCAGCTGGAGTGGCCCAACTACAGCGAGAAGACAGATAAGCAGGTATTTTGAGTAACAGACTAAAGGCTTCTGAGTGTGTCAAGGAGAAAAGAAAAAACACTCACTCCATGTCTGCAAGTGGCACTGAAGAACCGTAGACGGTGCTCGGTGAAGGGGCCGTGACGGAGGATTTAAGGGCAGCAAAGTGCAGATGAGAACAGCTGAGTAGAGCGCTTTAAGGAAATCCACGTCTTTCACTTTATCCTTCCCCTTCAAGTTTGATCTGTATGAGAAACAGAACAGAGATGAATCAGAGTGGCATGTGCAGAAAGAGGTCACTTATTAACAACAGCGTCTTTGGGTTTTAAGCTTCAGCACCATGTCGTATGTCCAACATCCTGCCCATGTGTGGGGAAAATGCTTACCAAAATGTAAAAAGATCGCACATTTGCAATGTCGTCAGCTGCAGCAGGCAGTTGGTGTAAATTCAGCAGAAACGGAGCCTTTAAAAGTTGTTGTAGATGCTGCAATATGAGGTTTAAAACAGCTGAGTGTCAGATTGTGCAAACACACCTGTAACAAAACACATTTCTCCTCCTCAGTAACCAACTCTGAAATTAAAACGTGGGTGACAAAACCAGTTGTTCTGCCTGGACGACTGAGGCTGGAGATTGAGTACTTAGTAAACAGCCCTGTTCATCTGTAATTGTGATTTTGCAATAAAGCCGTTGCAAAAATGACAATATTATTGCTCAAAAACACAAGTGGTTTTGGTTCAAGCGGCAGATCAACTCCACACTACTTGACACTTGCACATTTGGACCGAGCATGTGTGGTTACGGAGCTCGTCCTTGTTAAGCATCTGATAGCAGACAATTAACTAATTAACTCGGGTAAGACTTGAAGGCTGTGGATATGCAGGAACGTGGTGCAGACGAGGCCAGAAGATGTGGAGGAAGAGTTATTGTCTGTTGCTATAGTTACATTAGGCTGAACTTGTACAGAATATAGTGGGGGTTTTTTCTCATCAGCAACACAGACAGCAGATTTGATCTGAATCTTTTTAGTTATTTATTTTGGTCTACTGTGTTATGGGACTTTATAGGTGAACTTTTCCCCTCACCTGCACCTGCACCTCTTCTCCTAAACTAGTAAAAGAATCGGTCGACCAGAATACAGAGCATTACAAACCTATTAGATTTACTAATCGGACTCCAGCTGGTAGCTGAAAGGGCAACTCTGGACAATTTTAGTTGTCAACTATGTTTTTGATTAATCAATTAGTTTAACAAAAATTGTAAAAAAAAATATAACTGTCAGTTTTCCCCAAAGCCCAATACAACGTCCTCACATGTCTTGTTTTGAATAAAATTCAAAGATATTCACTTTACGGCCATACAGAAGGAAATAAACAAAAAAACATTCACATTTAGGAGGCTGCACTCAGATTATTTTCACTTTGTTTTAAGCAAAATTACTCAAAACAACTGGCAATTAATTTAATAGTTGACAGTTCGCTGATTAACCAACTAATTGTTAGAGCTTTATTAGACCTAAGGTATAATAGGACGCATGATTACAGCTCTGGAAATTATCATAAATTAGACTAATTCAAGGCTCCCACGCACTCACTGTGATGCTAATGTGGTTTAAGCATAGAAAAAAAAAAGTTAGAGGAGACCACTGTGTCTCATTTTATAAAAGTTTTACTAAGAAATATCTTTAAAAAGCTGTAATTATCAGGGGAAAATCCCTGAACATCATACTACACCCTGGCAGCAAAAACAACGCTTGCACACATGAATGCCTCCATAAAACACGGAAGGATGGCACACTTGCTTTTGCAATGTTCTTACATCAGCTGCAGCAGGCGGTTTGTGTAAATTCAGCGGAAAAGAAGCGCTGAAAGTTGTTGAGTGATAGTGTAGATGTTGTAATACTGTGTTTTAAAACAGCTGATTGTCAGACTGTGCAGACAAACCTGAAACTAAACACCTTTACCTCCCTGAACAACAAACAACTCTGGAAGGCAAAGTGTTCATCAAACCACCACATCCTTCATGTTTATTATCCAAAAAGCATCGACCTACAGGCACAAACGTGGGAGGAATCTCAGGGATGATCGGTACTTTTTGTGGCTAAAAACATATCCCAGTTCAGTTAAATTTCGGTTGTAAACAATGAGATACTAGAAGATGTGCAACATCCGAGAGAGCAGAAACACGCAGCAAGTGGACTCATTAACATACACAGTTGGACAACAAACAATTAGGCTGCATGTTTATTTAAATGTTATTTTATCGGCTGTGCAGGTCCACCCCTGTCTATGCAGAAATCCAAATGCTCAACGATTCGCGGTTTAAAAAAAAAAAAAAAGTGGAAGGCAGCGTCTGCGCATCATAACGTTTTTGGTCTCCAGGCAAAGATCACTGTAACCAGGATAGCTTAGCTTAGCTAGCATAGCCGCTTGCTAAGGAGCAGGATGGACGTAACGTTAGGGGGCTAACAGGAAAATAACAGGCAGGTAGCGGCGGCAGCAGCGTGTAAACAACAACAGAAAACCCCGCTTTTACTAACCTGGAGCGTCCAGTCGAGCCCGCCGAGCGCGCCCCGATAAAAAGCCAGCAGGTTAGCCGCTCCCCCGGATAACGTTAGGTCCCTTCCTCACATCCGTGCTCGGCTGCTTCTCTTGTTCGGGCGCTGTGGCTCCGGGGGCCGAAAAAATGGCAGTTACGGGTCATTAAAATGAGCGGAAATTCTCCCGCTATTCACCCACGAACGGCATCGTTTCACACAGACGTTTCTCCGAGCCTCAGGGCGTCCTCTCTGCCGGCGGACTGATGTGCATTTTGGTATAATTTGCTAGCTAGCTTGTCGGCTAGCTCCGGAGCCGCTGCCCGCGCACGGGAACATGAATAAACCAAGAGTTAATTGGCACGCTCACAACACACACACACACAGATACACGAAAATACACACATGTACACACCGTAGTGTAAAATTCTGCAAAATTATTCTCATTCACCCCATTTATAACAGGAATAAAAAAGAAATCATCTGTAAAAAAAAAAAAAAAATCTTAAAAAAAATAAAATAATCTGATATCGTCCAGTTTATATAAATTTCAATAAAAAAAACTTTATTGATCCTCTAAGATAATTGCAGTCTTACAGCAGCACTTTATGTATCACAAAAATGTACACGAAAACACAATTTTAAAATATATACTAGATGTTTTTAAAAGTTTGAAATTATACATACACACACACACACACATATATATGTACTAGATTTTTTTTTTTGAAAAAGTTTTTAAAAAATATAATAAGAATAGCAATAACTATCAAAACCCCAATACCTAGCTTGTGGGGAACATTCCCACAACAGCAAAGTTCTACTACTTTTTTCAGCTGGAACTTTTAATTCCCAGAATGTTCTTCTTAAACTATATTATATTTAAATGTTCTCAAAACTTGAAGTTACACTGAGAGCGTTAGTCCTCTGTTGCAATGTAACACTATGGAACGTTTTATAGATTCTACACTATGTTCCCACAATAACATCCCCAAAAACATCCTCAGAACATTAATGGCATGATGTTCAACTTTTCGTTAATATATCACAGTACAGGAACATCTTATAAAGAACATTCCTATAACATTTTGATAACATCTTGAATTTGTTTTTCTGAATGTTGCATTGAGAACATTCCTTCTTTTTTTTTTTAATCAGTGTGGAAACATTTTATAGAATAACACTCTAAAATGTGTTCCCTGAACAAAAAGGCAAAATGTTCTGCCTTTAGTATATCACAAAACACGAACGTTAAAAAGAATTCTGTAGACATCTGTCCATATGTACTGTTTATTTGTCAGGACCTGGTCTAATGTGGTCTGTATGCAAAAAAAAAAGCCCCCAACCAAAATAAAAATATATATAAATCCAGACAGATAGATCACAGGTTGTACAAATAGGCGTTTGTGTAAAGACAATGTAGTGCAGATTTGACCCATCTTTATGTAGTGGTTTTGAATGTAGACCTGGTCTAATATGGTCCAGGTGTAAGACAAAGTCCCATTTTTGCATTTTTGTAAATAGAATAAAGGTCTCATAAATGTGTAAGTAGGTTCTGACTGCACTAAGGATTTACCTAAAATGTTTAGCAAAATTTTACATCAATAAAATGTGTAAAAATAATGAATAAGTCATTCAAAGCTGCAATTTAAGTTGTTTTCATCTTTACTCTTAACTCCCAACTCGGAAGAGAACTTCAGCTCGGTCCTGTCTGTGTTTCTGTCGGACCTTTATTCTGGTTACAACAGATTGTTTACACCGGAAGTGTTGCACTGAAGCCGCCGGAACTTAAACTACTTCACTAATCCCTGTCAGTCGGTCTTTCCTCAGTGATTTACTGATTAAAATAAGAGATGATGTCCCGGTGCAGCAGGTAGCTGAGGATGCTGGTCGGCTACAGCAGCTCGGAGGAGGACAGTGAAGCCGACGGTGAAGTGGCAGCAGCGGCTACTCGCGGCCAGAGTCTCCCGCGAAAGTGGAGAGAGGAGGGAGATGATGATGATGATGGTGGTGGTTTACCGGCGAGGAAGAAACTCAAAACGGAAGAAGAGGCTCCTAAAACCAGGTGTGTTTAGTCACCGCCCGGCCTGATCTCAGGTGTCCAAGTGTTAGCATAAAGAGCTAACCGTTAATGTTAGAAAGTTAGCCGGAAGATAGAAAACACCCGAAATGTGGTGTACAGACACTTAACTTTGCCCCGAAAATAGTTCTGCAATCTTTAAAGACTTTTATAATTATTTAAAGAAGAAATAATCTGCCAACTTAGTGACAGAAACTATTTTAACTCGTTTTCCAAGTTCAGAGAGTCAAAACAAAGATGGCGGCGGCTTTACAGACAGAAAACAACATCGCGATTTGGTTAAATAAATCTTTCCTGTCGTTCTGTAAACGGGTGTTTTTCCACCCAGATGGTTGGAAGAGTCTTTGAGGATTTGGGGAATACCTTTAAACAATCCAGAGTGTTTTTAAACGGTCTCCTGGACGATTTGAAGTTCCCATGTGTTAGCTTACTCATACAAAACCAACTGTTAGCTCAGTAAGCTGAATGTTTGCTAATACAAGACATGGGGGCACAAACTGGGACTGCAGTGGTTTTCTGAGGGCTTTAGGTAGGATGAAAGATAATTAAGATGCTGCGAAACACCAAAGGGTATTCAAATTGGCCATTAACAACTCTGAGTGTCCTCTAGAGCCTGAGAAATGCTGGATTTGGGGGTCAATAAACCAACAACAAAATATTCATAACACACAGATTTGAAAGTGTTTTATAGCATCGCTTTGGGAAAACAAAATATTTAAAAATGACACTGGTTTGTGCAAAACCACAAGAGCCGTTTCTCACAATTTTCTGGTTTCAATTAATAAAGAAAACAACTGACAGATTAATCCATTATCTATACACCTTAATCCTCACTAGGGTCGTGGGGGGCTGGAGTCTATCCCAGCTGACTCAGGGCGAAGGCAGGTTCACCTGGACAGGTCACCAGTCTATCACAGGGCCACAGTTATACACAGACAACCAAGCACACTCACATTCACACCTACGGACAATTTAGAATCACCAATTAACCTCAACATGTTTTTGGACTGTGTGGGAGGAAGCTGGAGAACCCGGAGAGAACCCACGCTGCACGGGGAGAACATGGAGACTCCACGCAGAAAGATCCCGGGTGTCCTCACCGGGACGCGAACCGGGGATCTTCTAGCCGAGCCACCTTGCCGCCCCACTGACAGATTAATCAGTAATGAAAATAACTACGTTAGATGACAGGTTGTATCGACATAAATATACAAGTTTCACCGATTTCTAATCCCACAGTGGGGAAATTTGAATTGTTACAGCGGCAAAAGAGATTGAACATATACATAAGTACCAGCACATATTAGTGGTATTGCATAGATTCTTTCATGGATTAAAACACTGAGAGAAGTATTAATATTTCACAGATTGTTAATATTATACTAGATTATTATTTGCAATGCAGCGTCTGTGATATTTGACCAGTTTTCTATCCAATACTCTTATATAAAGATTGTCTTCTATCTTGAAATATTGAGTGATTGCGGGAGCTTCTTCAGACCCGACGTTGCAGCAACTTAAGTGTGAGAAAATCATGTCATTTATAAAACTACATTCAGAGTAAATGGGTTCATAAGAGTCTAATCGTATGTAAGTGTCTTTGTGGAAACTTGCCAGTATGTCTCAAATGTTAGCGTATGGCCAGGACTACTTAAGAATCATGTGTGATATGACCTTTAAATGTGACTTCCTCTTGATAACGACCCAGCCCTGATTAGATGTATTGATATAATGAGGCAGCGTGTTAACTGTGCTGTGTTTGCTGCAGGCTTCCTCTCCCCGGCAGCCTGCTGACCATGTTTCCAGATGAAGTGGACCCACACACTGAAGACAGCTCTCTTCATGGCGGACGCATCCGCTCCTTCAAACACGAGCGAGGAAACTGGTCCACCTACGTTTACTTCCCATGTGAGGCCAGCACAGTGTGCGACTGATTATCAGCAAAAGTCCCGTCCTGATGTCTCACGTTGTCCTTGTTTCTCTTCACACCAGACGATCCTGAGGAGGAGTTTGAGGAGCTGCTGGAGGAGCTGCTGTCGGCAGCATCTAACAGAGGCGTGCTGTTAACCCAGCAGGAGGAGTTTCACCTCAGTTTGTCCCAGACGGTGGTGCTCAGACATCACTGGATCCAGCCCTTCACTCAGAGCCTCAGGGCAGGACTGGCAGGCTGCAGAAGGTTTGTTCACCTGCTCGTGATCGAGTACAAGTTAGTCAGAAAATGAACAAAACAACACTTGTGCGCAGCTCATGGCAGTAATGCAGATATCCTCCTACTATACAGTGTCTTATGGCAGTTTAGTGATTCAAAATGATGTCTTTTTGTAGTTTAAATGTATGTTTTCCTGTCATATACTGTCCAGGAAATCGAGGCATAAACTCCCAAGTACAACAAATAAAAAATACAGAAAATATCTTAATTTTTACTCCACTTGTGTCAGTTTCAGACCACAAGCTGCCACAGGAGTGTCGGCAGCTGTTTGAATCACCACTGATCCATATCTGCTGGCATTTCTGTGGCATCTCGTGGAGTGGAGCCACATGCAAGTGTGTGTTTTTATAATTTCTACTTTCTTTTTATGCAAGTTTACTGCTTGACTGTCACGATGCCTGCAGCATTGTTATGTTGTTGTTGGATAGCAAAGCTTCTGCTACGTTCAGTAACAAATGTGCCAGTAGTTAAAGTAAAACGGACTCGCATGTGCTGCAGAACATACAGTTTACTCCAGAGCTGCTTTAAAATATATATATATATCAGGAAATGATGTGAAACTTATATGAAAGGCTGATTTTAGTGTGTTGCTGTGTTTGTTGCCAGGTGTGTGAGTTCAGCAGGAAGACTGAGGGTCTACTGTAACGCAGAGAAGACGAGGTAAAGTCAGACCCTCTAACTGTGGCCAGAAATACAGTCCAGACTCTGTTTCTGTGCCAGTATTTAAGCCTGATATTTATGACCCTTTAGTTTTCTCTACCGGTTGTTATCGAGGCGTCTTGCTGCACCTCATGCTGCCACGTGTTTAGATTCGCTCTTTATCGCTTCACATTTCTGGCAGTTTTATTCCCTTCTCACTGGCACTTTTCCCTTTTGCTCCGATCTGCATAGTCTGTCCAGTCTGTGATTTATTTCTACAATGTCACAGCTTTCAACGGCGTTAGAAGAGCTTTAACACCCACGCAGTTCTTTTTATATCGGTGTTAAACCAACTCAAATTAAAGCTGAGACTTGGCACCATAATGCAGGATCCACGACTTTATTTCAGAGTGAATGTGCCAAAGAAGAGAGACTGAAGAACAGAAATGTCTAAAGCTTGTATTGTTTTATGGCAGTGGGCAAATATTTGTGAAAAAGATGCTTTGATATGTACAGATTATGATATGTGCAGAGTCTTTTTCTGTTTTTAAATCTTTCTCCATCCGCTGCAGGACGTTCCTGGGGATGGAAGTGTCTACTGGGCACGCTCAGTTGTTGGACCTGGTCCGGGTTGTGGACAAAACAATGACAGAGTTCCGCCTGGAAACTTTCTATAAGGTCAGGAATCGTTTAGCATCAACACAAACACAGATTATAGCACAGGAAATCTGCAGCTCTGTAAAATAAAACCTCAGTAAATACAGTAAATCTGCAGCTTGGCAGTTACACTTTCATTTTATTTGTTCATTTAACTCTCTGAACTTTATGCACTTACTGGATGTGTTTTGCTCCTGTTGAGTGTTTCCTCACTGTTGCTTCATTTTTCACTGTCATATAAAGTCCTGCACCTCTTTGGAAACAACCATGACGAAGGAGACAGAACTCAGAAAGAGTTAAAATCCATAAATCAAAAAGAAAACATAAAAGTTGGATTTCTCTGATTATTTTGTTCACAAAAATTGAAAAAAACCTGGAATCAACATGCGACATTATTCCGAGGGCCAACAGGAATTACCAGTTTTATAAATAAATAATGAAAAATGACGGCTCTATCTGCTGTAGATAAGTCTTTACTTACACTTTTAATTTGTTTTTTCATAACTGTTCCGTGTAAACACAGCCTGCAGTTCAACCCAGTTCAACCAAAAAGTCCCAGATTTTTAGTCGTGTGACTTTATGTTGCAGCCGAGTCACTGATGACTTCAGGGCTTCGCAGGAGAACAAAGAATTTTTAGCTTTTTTACAGAATCTGGTTTCAGCAAACGGCTAATTTTAAAATTTTAAATGACACATAAATTAAAGCGATTTTGACCAAATAATCACAATTTGAAGCTTATATCTGAAGTTTTCTGACAAAAGCTTTAAGTGATAAGAAAGTGGAAAATCTGACAATTAAAGTTTCTGATTTTTATAAAGATGCATTTTAAATCCACCGCTGAGCTCTGAGCTGATCGAGCTGCTGTGTTTTATATTAAACCAGCTCACACACAGTTGGGTACGTTGGTGATGTAGAAACGATTCTGAGTCCCTTTATCATTTTAAATCATTGAATCTCTTAAAAACATTCACGTCTCATCACTGTCATGCTGCTGTGTCCTCCAGGAACCTTCGTTCCACGTCAGTCTGGCCTGGTGTGTCGGAGACCAGACGGTGCAGATCAAGGAGTTCATACAGGAGCTGCAGGTACCGACCAGTTCACTGCTCCTCATAATTTAACGTGAATCTGAAACGTGGTGCTGTCATTATGTGTTTGGCACCAATAAAATTTCAGCTGAAAAAAAAAACAAATATATTTAAAAACATCTATTTTTTCATCATATTTGTATTTGAATTGTATTGAATTGTTTTTTTCAGCACCAGTTTTTCTTTCAGTGCCGAGACAACTTTTTTAAATGCAAATATACGGGAAAAAAGAAAAGAAAAAGAACATATTTCTTTAAAAGAAAATCAGATTGTCTTTATATTTTTTTGTATTCTGATGCACTTTTCTGTGACAATCATCAGATTTTTTTTTTTTTTTAAAAGCCGTCTGTACTTTTTTCTGGTTTCAATTCCAGTTTCTCAATTTCTTTGCTTCGTTTTTCAGTTCACTTTTTAACGTATTCATGAGACATTTCTTTTGGTGCCAACCTGTACCGTCGGTGTTCTGAATCCATAAAACGTGGAACAGAAAAGAGAAACTGATAGTTTGGTACTTTTTCCAGACTCGGTGGTTTTTAGTGTCACGAACCTGCAGGAGACGGTTGAACGGTTCAGACCAAAGTTATCTGATAAACCTCTAAATCCTGAAACACTCAGTTCAAGTAGTTCTGACAGAAGGACAGACTTGATTGTAGATTTCTGTCTGATTTTTTTGTTTGTTTCAGACTTTGATAGACGACCGTGAAGACGGGCCGTTTGTGCTGCGGTTGGACGGCGCAGAGCTTCGCTGCCGGACTGGAAACAAGACTTTTCGCTTCCCTCTGGAGCCCTAAAACTGAAACTGGTTGTCGGTTCCCACAATGCAAAGCTACGACAAGGACTCAGCAGTTTCTATACGGCTGTTACTCAAATGTTGAAGGGTGAGAAACGGTTCAGAAACACCTGCCGACAGACGTGTGACGTCCCAACAAAGACAATCAGCAGTCGTTTGTTCTTCCTGCATTATTTATTACTGTTTATAAATAAAGCTTTACTGGTTTTTACTTACTTTTCTGTGTGCATTAACGGTGACAACAAGCTTTTTAAAGAGTTGCGGTGCTTAAGTGAGACGTAAGAAAACCTCACTGAGACGAAACTGTCGACTTAATCAGCGCTGAAACCTCAACGAGTCATTTACAAGAAGACGGAGGAAGTGATTGGTCATCGCTTAAGATGGTTAAAATGACTGTTGTGTTGGTTTTACTCAGCATCTTGGGGGTTGATACAGAAAAACTAAAAGAAAAACGAGAAACCAGCGAATAAATGAAGCCAGTCAGTTTTCAGGTGTTTAAAAAAAAAAAAAGTAATTTAAAGACGGATTGAACTGTCTGAGGAGCAGAAATACATTTTAATTCCATACAAAATCCGAAACTAAGAGAACTTTCAGTGACACATTTATTGCTTTCTATTGCAAGTTTCCTGAATTCTTCTGTTTAAACATCCAAATAAGAGATTAACCATCAAAATACGCCCAAATTAGCATTAACTTCCAGAGCAAATCAAGTTCAAAAGTTTGTTTTTTGTTGACATATTAAGAGTTAAAGGAGAATTTTTGATGCATCTTTCTATCAATCGATAAATCAGAAAATACTGCCAGAAAAAAAAACACTTT